ATTACTGCACTTTCTTGCTGAAAAATTAAAATGACGGGCCGTTTTATCATCCCATTTATAGACCTCAGTCCTTCCGAAGTAGTGACACTGATGTGATACAGACAGCTGTTACTCAAACTTTCTTTGGAATAACTACCTTTTCAGATACCGACGGCTCGGAACGGTTCCAGAACGTCACATTCACTTAAGGGTTCCTCCCCACTCCAACAAAGAGGCAGCACTGGGCGTATAAGGCGTTTCTGCAGCCCCAGAAAAAGTCAGCGCGACACGGCTTTTAGTGTAATTTAATAAGAGCTGTAGACATATATATTATGGGAATTGTCCAAACTTTGTTGATGATTTATGTCAACTGTCCACTTCACGAAGTTTAGTAACCTTGTATTGTGGCAGAAACGTCTTTTCGTCTTCTTCAGTTGTAGATTTACGTATCAGTAAATGATACCTAAAGGTACATTGTTATAATTTAGATTTTATATTGACATGATATTTTTGAAAACATAGACAAATGGATCAGTACTTAAGGGAAATTGAAAATTTCACGATTACACGGCGCTGTAACCCAAGAGATATAAATTTCATACTCGAGTTCGTGAGAACCAGAAATCCTACTTAGAAAATAACAAGTTGAGTATCAGCTGCCTACCTTTAAAGATCTGGGACACATTCGTCCTTTGTTATCGACTAGTGGGCAGCAATTTTATATATAAAATCAGTTTATTTAAACACCATTGCAGTTTATTGAAACACTACTAAATTGGGCCTACTATTGCAAACAGGTACACATTGCACTCTTTTTTTTATTAACAAAATCGACGTTTAATTAAAAATTTGGAACGGAGTTTGCTTCAGCTAATTTTTCAGTTTGGGGCTTAATTTGTTTTGTTTTGATTTGCATCTGTCCACGTGTCAATGAGCGTGGTGCGTTCTTAATTAAGGTGATCATGCTAACAGAAACAGTTTTTGCCAAATACTGACTACATTATCGAAACAATTTTCTGATATTAGGTAACAAATTTTTCATTGTACACTACAATATGTACACAACATATCGGTGGGTCACGCGTTTATTTCCCCAGATACACATTTTTGAAGAAATTTTGATTAACTCTAATGATTGTCAAATTATAAAATCACGAAAAAAGATTCTTGGGTTCATTATATGTCTCCTGATATGTTTGTCGTAGTAAAGAAACTTTCGGGACTGTTGACCTTTGGAAATTACATTTAATCTAAGAAATCTGATTGTTTAAAACTCTAAACTAAACCAAAGTAACTACGAACGCTTCTAATAGCCTACTTGAATTATTATTTCCCAAAGTAGAAGTGGTCTTACTTACGAAAACAAGTTTCTTATCCGTTTCCTCTCAGCAAGTTTGAAGTACTTTTTGCAAAATTAAGGGTAATTTAAGAAAGTATTATAAAAATAGGAAAATTATTACTTCACTGTAAATACGAAAAGTAGATAAACACAGAAATGGTTAAATTGGACCGAGCTGCTATGGAGACATATCATAAACCTGCATTGAAAGTAATGAATTTAATCAACATCGTTTGTATTTTGTATCATCTGTACATAAAATGTCATAAACTCAATTTCTGGATGCCATCAAAGCAACCTATGTAAATTGTACAATTAAAAATACGCAGACCTAACTTTGAACTTTAAATTGGGAGAAGCATTAAAAATTTTAGTAGGAAAATTTTGAAGCTGTGTTGACACAAAACGTGTGCATGTTTAATTACTAATTTAGTATGTAGTCGGTTGTCTGAATTAGAAATAAATATGAACACTTCACACAGACGACTAGTTTTGTCGGATGTCTAACTTGCTTATTATTTTCATACAGGTACTAGAAAAATAATTAATAACACAAATAAAATCCGTTCTGTGTGGAACTCCACAAATTGAAACTTTTGGACGTAAATATGAAAAGGTGTAAATATATGTCGAAAGTTTTTTTTTTCTTTCGCGAAAAGAGAAAATGAAGAGAAGATTGCATTCGAATGTTGAAAATTTAATAAAGAGGAACTTCATGATACTCATTTTCGTAAAATATTATTGAGGTTATGAAAGCGAAGCGAGTGTTCAAATTACTTGAGATTACATTACATTTCTAAATTTACCAGCAGACGCTGGAATATATATACACATAATACTGACCGAACAGTATGAATGATAAGTTCCTTGTATTTCATGTTCTCAGTTCGCCATTTTTTCCATGACATCCTTGTCTTAATACGTATATTAACTAGTACTTGAAAGCCCTAGAATCTTCAGCAGTTATGTTGATGTATAGTTTACTTCCCTTGTTCAAGGGTACTTCTATGGAGACGAATGAGCAGATAACGTATTCGAGACAGGACCACGTTCAGTTGAAATGATGATGGAAATGGGAAGCGGATGTAGGAGGAAAACGAAAGAGACGTTGAAGTAGGAAGGACGGGAAGGAGTTGTTGCAGGAAACACTTTACGATTTGGGGTGAAATAGCCGTTCGTCTCGGTACAAACGGAATGATTGTCATTCTGGGTTAAATTCTTCACTTGAATTACTTAAAGAACATTTTCGGATGGGTGCAACTTATTTTCTTAATAAAAACACTAAAGTAATTACTATTCAGTCTATTTAATGTGTTGTGGGTGTTACGGAACAAGAGCTACCTTCTTGCATGCGTCTTAATCTAGAATTATACCATGTTCTTCGCACAGAGTTCACGAAGTGATCGCGTATAGGACAGGTCATATCGAACGTCCGTCCGCATGTTTTGAAGTTACTAAACATGTCTCGATTAAATTTGATAGATATGATGCAAATTTAATGTTATTGAAACAATTTATTTTTTTCATGTAAGTCCAATGTTGATACCCTTGATTTATGTTAAGCAGAAACCCACTTTTTCTGCGGACAGAGTTTGTCTGTTTAGATTTATAACAACAGATTTATATGTGTAAGAAATTAACATTAATGCCAGTGGCAAACCTAAAGTCGCAATGAAGAATGTAGAAAATGATCATAGTCCATTCTAAAGTATTTTGCATATTTTAGTTATTCTTCTAAGATTCTGTCACAAAGCACAAGAGGATTGTAGTGGTGTCTCACACACGTGTCGTCCCCGCGTTGAAATAAATACGGTTCTGACGAACGAGTCAAATCGGAGCTGAAATCAATGCTGACAGATAAATATCACTATTGACTAGAAAGAAAATTGTGGGACTCCTATTGCTTCAGAAAATACGCAGACAATACCCGGCAGATTGTTTTCAGTGTTTAGATAGTTTAAAAGCCCATGCCGGCTTAGACTATCGTTCTAGCATCTCCGGTTTTTCTCTCAGGACAAATTTGTATATTCGAGCTATCGCTGTCTAATTTTCGCCCATTCTGTCAGAATAAGGGGTAGAACGCTAATGTTAAGCGTGTTAGCCCGGTAAACACTTTCAAAGACGAAATATAAAGTCTTGTTTCTTACTTTCGTGGTTCAGTGGTACTCCATACACCAAGCGCTCACATGCTCGCGCGAGCGTACACCTTAAATAGTTAACTAGTTGGCTAACGACGAATGGCTGACTGGAGCTCACTAACGATGAATTCTATCTGATAGATTCCACTGAAATTTTTCTGTTAAAATTAACAATTCCGAATTTAATTTGTTGATTACCTAAAAAATGTTTCAGACATAAAGTCTCCTGAAAATTGTAAAGCTCTGCAAGCTGATTATCAGTAGTGTAGTGAAAAACTGTATGAACTTCAATATACATAAAACTAAAATTATATCGTTGACATGGAAGTCTAACAGTATTCATTTTAATTACTGTGTCAAAAAGTTTTAATTTTGCGTTCTGACTCTATAAAAGACATTTGTGTTATATTAGACACTAAAATGCATTTTCATTGCCATGAGGGTTTTATATATTTTCAGGCGCTAAGGACATTACGTCTTATTAATTGTAATTTCTACTTAGATAGTTTGGTTCTTTATATATTTTTTTAATAAGGTACAAGCTGAAGTTTGCCTCTGTCATAAAGAATAATCTTACTTCCTGCCTCCAATGAAATATAAATCATAGAAAGAAAAATGTCCAATGCATATTGTATTTTTCAGTTTGATATTTTACGTAATTATAATTTAATTATAAGTTGTTTGAATCTCATAACACTTTATTCCAGACGAAAATTCGACGTTTTATTTCTTATTTATATTTTCAATGATAAAATTGACATTCTGTGGTAGACACTGTTATTCGTGTGCCTACAAGGCAAGTAATATAATTTTTCTACTTTTGGCGTGAGCAGTGCATTCACTAGGTGGGTCATTGCTTCGGATGACGTAGTTGGCAAAAACATTGTCTCTTATGAGTACAATTATTAAACTAATTTTACTCATTTAGTTGAATTATCTTTTTATTTTTAAATTGTTTATTTATTGCGTTTTTTGCTTTGCATGTATTTGATCTTCTTGTGCTGTCTCTGCATTTGGCTCCTGTAGCTCTTGAGTCAGCACGTACATTCTGTTATTGAAAACTTCGGAATACTGGTTATTTCCGAAGCAGAAAATGTGATACTCCTTGAACACGAAACGCATTAACTGAAATGCGGAAATATAGAATGAATGTAGAAGAGTAAATGCAATTTCAAATCTTATTTTGCAATTGCTGGACGTTGCATGGCTGCTGATATGTTCATTTTTAATGATCCTCTGCTCTTTACATTCAGTTTTTCATACGCACATACATACACTCAGAGTTTTTAATTAACCACGTTCTTTTATCCCGTTTTGGGCCTGTTGATTATACCTGTGAAGCACAAAACGTGGGATTCTTTAGTAATTTGCTACCCGGTTAGAAACTGTATACTATAAAACTTTTGAAAACTTCTTCATCACCGATTTGATAGTTTTATACTTCATACAAGAACGAAAATTTTGTGTTTCTGTTGATAGTTATTTCTCTTCGTATCCTAGACATATAAGCTGGAGCGCTGTGAGCATATTTGTCAGTTGCTTACCCGTTTGTGATGTGGTGATACTCGGGCAGGTCCTTGGCTTGCGCCGCCCTCGCACGAGCCAGTATAGACAGAACTGTGCGTTTCGTGGGCGACATGGCGAGGCGTGTGCCGCCCCCAGGAAGTAGAGGTCGCTTGCGACACAAAAGTTGTGTGGGTGGACCGCTACCAGCTCCTGCGGCATCAAACCAGACTGGAATGAGTCCCTCCGAGTCTGATGCAATTAATTTATGGGCAGGCAGACCAACATGCTTATTGGCTGAGAGATTAACCTAACAGTATGTAAAGCTGGAACATTAGATGTTCCATAGAGTTTTAACCGGATTAAATTATTTTGGGGATTGACTAATTGAAATATGAAGAGAAGTCAAACATTTCGGAGAGATAAAGAGCATTATGTGTTGGAGGGTAGCACGCTTCGTCCGTTAGTCCTTTTGGTAAGGATAGTATGGAAGTAAAAACGTGAATTTGGCAAGAAGTAGTGACTAGACCTATACCCGGAGGCTTAAAATACAGGGCTAGTCTAAATGATGTTCCCGATTTGAAACACATCTTACTCACATTTAATGAAATTCAGATGCACAAAATTGATACCAATGGAAAGAGAAACTCTCCAAGTTTATGTTGGTATACTTCGCGGCCGCGTAGTAACACTGTTCGCCACCAGGTGCGATATGAGAGAAAATGGCTGCCATCGAAGACAGGGGAGCCTTTTGTGTCCTGGATTTCCACGTTCACCGGTCTGTTATTAGTATGCAACGGCATTTTCGAACCAAGTTTGTGGCAAATCCACCCAGTGGGCATACAATTCGTAAGTGGTATTCCGAATTTAATAATAGGGGCTGCATTTGTAAGATAAAGTCAATCGGCCGCCCGTCAGTAAGCGAGCAACGTGTCTGGGAGGAACACGACTACAGACTAGATGCGTGCCGAGTTACCAAGGGGGCTCACATTGAACACCTGTGATGTACTGAAACAAAACTTGGAGAGTTTCTCTTTCCACCGGTAACAATTTTGTTCATCTGAATTTCATTAAACGTGAGTAGCATGTCTTTCAAATCGGGAACATCACTTAGACTAGCCCTGTATAAGCATTAGTTTACCACCACCAAGAAGACCCCAGCGTCTCTTCTGCAGTTCAGTCTATTAATCAAAATAATCTTCGTTTATGCTTGTTGTGTGACAATCAAACCCAAGAGAATTTTGCTTCGGACAAATTCTTACCTACTGACGGCACAGTTGCTCCAGCGATGGATGTCCTGGGTTCGACACCTCTGAGGGCGGGGTGCTGGGGAGCGAGAACTAGCCCGTGACTTGTGGGGAGAGTCGGAGGCGGCGACTCTGCGGCCACTGGAAGTGGCGGAGTGCAGGGTGACATGCTCCCTGTGCTGCTGGAACTGGCGGTGCTGTCCCCCACAGGCAGCAGCTCGCCCCTGCCACAGCGCTGCGTCTTCAGGATGTGTATCTCCCACATCTGCTCCTGACGAATCTCGTCGTTGTAATCCTGCAGCGTGCATAGGACATTTCGTTACAGTATACATCGTTGACTTTTGGCCTAGGAGAGAAGACGATGGGACATGGAGAAAACTGCATAATGATGAGCTTAAAAATCTGTACTCCTCCCCCAGTATTATCAGGGTGATTAAGTCGAGATGAATGAGATGGACGGGGCATGTAGCGCGCATTGATGGGGCAAGAGGTGTGCACCGGGTATTGGTTGGGAGGCCTGAGGGGAAGAGACCGCTGGGGAGACCTAGACGTAGATGGGAGGATAATGTCAGGCGGGATCTATGGGAGATACTAGCTGAAGGAGACTGGAATTTGTTGGCCCAGGACATGGTCCGGTGAAGGGCTTTGGTTAATTCGGTGATGAACTTTCGGGTTCGGTAAGCCATTTAGTTAGTTAGTTATACGTCGTTGACGAAAATTGAACTGGTATGCGGATCCGATTCAAATAAACATTAAAATTGTTAATATAGGATTTGAGACTTTCGCGGCGAGTACAACCAATAAAATCTTCTCGGGCAAGAGAAGATTTTATTGATTAAAATTCTTAGATAATCTACCGTAAAATTTTCCAATATTAAATGTAATTACAATCAAGTCACCCGTTCTGAGGTTGATTCATGCCAATTGTGAAATATGATCGTTCACGACGTGACATCAAATCTGCACGAACACACCTGATTTGTAAATATGACAATTTGAGATTGACTGATATTTCGTCTGTTCTTATTTCCTCCATCGCCCTGACGATGGGTGAAGTATGTACCCAAGTACCTCTGAACAGTTGGTCAGTTTCTGCGAGACTACACGGCGTAACATTCCAGAAGACAGTCATCTTCATATTCGCGTCCGTGAGAACTTGAAATCTAACTTTCCGAGTCTACGAGACGTTATTTAAAACCCGGACCTACGGAATACGAAACGACCGCCCGAAACATTCTGTGCTTAGTTATCTTTATTGTTTTTGATGATGCTGATCCTTCCTTATCTTCAGATATGTTCCATAAAAGTTCTTATTAGAATTTGTATTATATATTATTTCTTTTATATTTATCAGGAAACAGATGTATTTTGGAGGTTTGGTTTTATGATGACAATTTTGGCAATTGTGATACTTTGTTCTCCTCGATGGTCTTCAATAACACAATGCGCACGATGTGTAGTGCTTGACCGTCTTTCTGTATGTATCTTTTAATTCGAGAAGATCCTTGTTACTCAGTTTCATAATGTAACTCTCTGAGGTTCGACCTTTCTCAACATGAAATCGTTCTTAACTTTGGGGTGAGATGTGCCGCTTTTGAAATAAAGGTGTGTGGCTCCGGGGTTAATTGCCTGGAGACATCAGTTACATGAAGGCACAGCATTGCCTGACGGATGGATGTCATGAGAGAGAGACTAAAATACTCTCTGTATTATGGGCACAAGACTCTCTCTTTTCCCGTCCCCGCGGCCACTGTTAAAATAATTGGTCGTGAAACATTTATATAATAGAATTCTTTACTCTTGCTTTCTGAAAATTAAGTCCAACGAAATGGCACTGAATGTGATCAGAACTGACACAAGTTTCTCCCGAAACGTATGAAGGTTACTTATGTATTACTATATCACAATAGATGTGTGTGGCTGGACTGTGTTCGATTCCTAGTAGACAATTTTCTGTTCTGACCACTTCCACGATTGTATGATTCACTCGCTCATCTTTCCACCAAAAACTGCGATGTGAGAGTCTAGGTCCTCAAGATCGCCTTCTGGGACGTTGCACCGAGTAGTCTAGCAGAAGTCGACCGACGTTTCAGGAGTACTTACTGCCTCCATCATCACGGCGAAGCTATAGAAAGTGCAGTGTTCTTCCCGAGAAAATAAATGGCAGTTCAGTGTGGCCAACCTGTGTTTGTTATTTGCATATATTTTATTAATTTATGGTTTGTAGGATTTGAGATTTTCATGATGGTGAGTCTGAAGATGGCTGTATTCTGGGTTGTTGTGCCGTGTAGTCTGTTAGAAGTTTACCGACGATTCAGAGGTCCTGAAACGTCGGTAAACTTCTTCCAGACTACACGGCGCAACATCCCAGACGACAACCACCTTCAGATTATGGTTTACGTAACGATGGATTTGAATGTGTGTATGAGTGACAGAATAAATATGGAGATACATAATGAATGCTACGCATCTAAATTACCGTGTGTTAAAATTACAAACATGGCTATGGGGCGTAGACATGCAGGATGTATTTACTAGTGGATATTAATCACATATTAGGTCATTAACGTGTGGTGTTATTAATTTACAATTCTGCTAAATTCGATGTATAGATGAAGCCACTCAAATGAAACCAGGCGCCATGTTTATAATACTTTCACATTATGCCATTATTGCATCAAGCCTTCAAGATTTTCATTGCTTTCCCATATATTATAAAGTAGAATTTATAATCAGGTCGGAAAGTTACTGAACAGCTATCTGAGTTTAAAATTGTTTTTACTTTGTCAATTTTAAAGTGACATTACTTAGTTTTTGACATCATGTGGCAATGAAGAAGATACCAGCCCTTAGGCTTTTTTCATTTGTTGGCTGAGGGACGGCTAATTGACTTGTCATTCACCAGAGCGTAACTGTCACTCTTTAATTAATCGAAGATGTTAATTAATGTCGCCCTATTCATGTCACAGGCAGTTGAGTCGGTATAGAAGTGATCCATCTGTCCGACACTAAACTTCCTTTACGTGTTACCCAATAATAACTGTAGCATTGTAGTATTAGTGACAGAATATTTGGATACACACGTACAGGGGCGGCAGGTACATTATCACTAACGTCAATGTTGTAAGATGGTGAGTTCTCTCTTGTGATATAAAATGGTTTGTAAGTTATACAGTTTCATGACCCTATTCAGATTTTGTCTTCAAAATATGATGTAAAAGTGAGAATTATTTGCTTTGACTCAGACTAAGGTTCTGTGGCTAGCAGTTATGAACTTGATAACAAAATGTCGGTTGTTATCTGAGCGGCAGTTTGTGGAGAATGACACTTGGCTTGTGGAGACGTTGAGGCTGGTTTAATATCTTCAAAGGACGGTCTTTCTTTTCGAAGCTGAGGCCTGCAATATGAGATTATAATGCACGCAAAAGTTGCAGTTTACTGATAGCTTTGGCGTTCATTTTGCTTGAAGACGCTCAACTAGAAAAGACCATCTGGCTTAACGAAACAAGACCTCTGTGATGGTTCACATGGTGACAAATAGAAGCTTGTCGTCGTGAAAGTTACACATCATGCGTGTGGGAACTTAAGAATTGTACGTAATTTAAGTGACTTCCGATGCTAGTTAAACGAATACCGACGCTCTGTTAGTAAATGAGATTAAAATAGTTGAATACCTTCATGTGGGGTCTTTGTCCTTAGCCAGACGAACCACTCATTACCCTCCGAACTTGTTCTGATGAGATCTATTTTCTTGTTATGCTCCCATCTATATCAGTGTTATAACAAATGTTCAGATTTAAGTATTATCATCAAATTTTCGATTTAAAATTAATTTCCCAAATATTCGAAATATAAGCGCGACGTAACATTAACCTTTTAATACCTGCTGGTAACTGTATGTACTAGCCATTTTAACAATTAATAACACTGAATTTTGTACCTATGGGTTTCGTGTAAACACCTTTATTTTCTTAAAAAATATTAACTATCTAATCCGTTAAATGGTGAAGTGTGTTTTATTTGCTTTATGGGCTGAATCCATAAATATGTTTTAGTGGTCAGCTTCACGCTCCCCGGACAGAGAGCCACCCTTACCCATTGTATAGGAGACTAGCTATACCCCAGAGCCTGTCTGGACGCAGTAGCTAACAAATAAATCAAATTGTTTTATATAAAATTCCTTTATTTTAGAAAAACTGTAATTTCATTTTCAAGTGCGAAATATATTGAACGAATAAAAAACAACCTCTAAAACTGTTAACTCTAAGCTCCAATAACAATTTCATTCAGAGTCGTTAAATAAATTGTGAAATTCGCCTACGGTCGGATATGTCGACTTCTTCGTATGTATAGTTTGTACACTTGCTTCAAAGACCGTATTAAGGCAGTTTAATGTACCTGACTTTATAAATCTTACTAGAAGAGAATTCTAACCGGTTTCCACTGCCTGGCACTAAAAATTCATTCGCTAACATTTGTAATGTTTTGGTATATGTCATAATAAATCTTTCATTTATCCCCCACATTAATTTATTAATCTCAGTAGTAAGGCTAACGAATTTGTTTAGTTCGTGGGACACATTGAAAGTCTATCCTTACATAATTTATTAGTGTCACTGAACGTTTGCGTAAAAATTAGCAGAGAGGCAACGTTTTTAAGTTGATATATCTCTGTGGAGAGAAAGATTTGCACACTTTTCTTGTTTCTTAGCCAGTCAGTTCAAGTGTTTTTCAAAACTGTCTTTAAATTGCGTTTATTACGAAGCGAGGAATGATGTAAAAATTCTAAACAGCGACTGCTGACGGATATGGAAGTGATCGTAGCCTATTTTAAGGTGGCATAACAGATTTAATAATAGCTGAGGAAAACTACGAAAAACTGTCAAGATGGCTGAATTCCGGGCCAAGAATCAAACTCGATGCTACACCGTTCGATATACCTTACGGTCTCTCCCGCCCTTAGAGATCACGTTTGTAATATAGCTGAAGTTCTTAGAAGGAAGGAACGTTGTCAGGTTGCTCCGGAATTTTCCAAGCAATGTTATATACCAAATATTTCTATATAACAGTGCATATGTTGATATCACATGGAATCCCTGCACTGCCATCCAATCTCTCTTCCACCTCACGATAGCGAATGGAGTTACAACTCCAGGAAATTCCGTCCATTATGTCTCGCTTCCAACATCTTCGCCCTTTGCAACAGAGAAGAGTGAATGGAAACGTAGATAAAGAAGTAGGCGAAACGGAAGAAAAATACAGGCATCTAAAGGACTAAGAGGTAATCAGACACGAGAAAAGGGAAATTTGACATTGTGTCTGGAAGTAATATCTGTAGGGGGTTAGTGGCGTGGAGGTTAAGCTCCATGCAAAGATAACCTGACTAGAATCAAGGATAGGTAGACAGACTTAAAATTTAGGGTGGTATAGAGGAAGAATGCAGTAAGAGCGATAGTTAATATTAAAATGTTTATTAGAGAATCAGTTTACAAAAATGAAAAGTCTGGTTCAGTCTCTGCAAATTTGTAGTTCGAGTCACGAAATTCTTGTCAGACGAATATTACTATGGGGTTTGTCAGCCAACAATTTAATAAATTAATGTCAGATATACAATCATATTTCTCACGCAGCATAGTCCAAATATGACTCAACCCTTCCCCGTGTCAGTTTACATTCAAAAAGTAATTGTTTTCATATTTACAAGGCAATATTTATTGGTGGAAGGATGACGGTCTGATATGTATAAACACTGAGGTACTTTCAGTTCCCGTGAATTTGCCATTTGGACAGTTTGAAAGCTCTCTGATAACTTTGGTCTATCAAACTCAGAAATAAAGTTTACGTGCCATAACGCAAAGTAATTAAATAGGCCGATATGCGCCCAATGACACAGAAACACTTTACAGTGTGGATTTATAGAGGATTAAACTCACGTTTTGAGACCCGCTACAGGAAAGCAATTTTATGACGAGCTTTGACGTCGCTACCAAATTAATCAACACACTTCAGTCCTCTGGTTTCTTGTACAGGAACTGACATGCCTCGCGGTTGTAATCTGTTTTTGTGCTGACGTAGGTGGGAAAAGAGATAATAACTTTGTTGTCATTTTCTACAACCATGAAGACCAATGTGAGTAAGAGGGGATATAATAAACTAGGAACATCGTAACTTTTATAGCAATCACGGTAAGGGGTTTACGAGGTATGGACATGCAGATGGAACTGGGGAAATAATAAATAAATACACAGCTTAGAGTTTAATAGCATAAATTGTAGTGAAAAAACCTACTTGGAAGAATAAGATAGAGATAAGATAATACATGAAAATTTGACGCAAAATTTTGACATACATTTCATTCCATGTGTTTTAATCGATATGATGAGGTCAGGAAAAACAGTAAATTGGTGTAGATCCATATAATTAATTATTTATAACTATTTAGTAAACGGATGGTAGACCTAAGAATTCAGACTAATAGATTGAACCTCAAAGCTTCTGCATCATAACTGTGGCTGAAAGTATTGACATATAAACAGTATTCATTCGGAATATTTACGTGTGTTTTTGGTATATATATTTTTCATAGTCGCCATGTTTATATTATCAATTAAAACTAAAGTAATTAAAATTAAGACTATGGCGGTTCTAGTGGCATGAAAGTCAGTCAAAGTTAAAACGAAAATCTGTTAGTTCACTCATTAGTAATTGTGAGGGGCAGACCCTCGGGCATTAAAGTGTAAGCCTATCCTAAAATATAAAAAAAGGAATGT